TGGCTGTGAAGCAACTTGTTTTTTTAAAGACTTAAGTTACTTAAAGAGTTATTTAAAGTTTGGTTCTCATTTTCTCATTCTAATTTCTGTGTTACAAACTGACACGTCAGGTTATTTTGATTATTGCCTCCAGTTTTCAGTAGAGGAGTTTTATTTTCATGGATGTATTCTTTTGTGAAAGGTCCAGATAAGTTGTAAATGGACCTGTTTTGAACATGCTCTGCCCTCCTATATATGGTAAAGGTTCACATGAAGTAAACATGTTGCCATTTACTCATTCATCCCTTGGTTTGGATAGACTCTCCATGTTAAATGTCTTGATTTGTAGAGAAAAAGTAGATGATAAGTGAAAAATTTTAAGGAAAGAAACCTTTATGATAAGAATCACTAAATCTACAATGAAGAAAGTTTACACCAAGCAGTCAGCAACTGTTACCAGCATGAGCTTGCTGACTGTCACTGAAAGTTTTATTCAGTGTAGAATCAGCTTACTTGAATATCTTTTGAAGTAAATCTTATTTGATAAATTCAACTGTACCCATTAAGAATTGTGCCATGCCATTGTATTTAAATGACAAGGCCAATTTAGAGAGATGTTTTAGGGGCAAGTTGCCTCTCACCAGAGCCATCCCCTGTCAAAAAAGGACTTACTATCTCTAACATTTTGTATTACCCAATCTTTGGCTCAGGACAGTTCTGGAAATACTGTTTATGACTAAATCATTGTGAGTAGTATCTACCAATTTTATCTCTGTATCCATCTATCTATTCTCTATCTATCTATCTATCTATCTATCTATCTATCTATCATCATCATCATCTCTCATCTGTCCTTCTGTCCATGCATGTGAAGATATGGTAATTTCATCTTTGTAGACTATGTATGAAGAGCAGAATACAGAACATTAGCTAGCAGCATTCTGAAGACGAATCCTATCTTAACATAGATATGAAAGGAAATTTATCTATAGTACTAAGTGGGCCAGTCATGTGGTTATTTCCCCCCAGATTCATTCTTCATCCTTCTTGGGCTGTTTTGCAATACAGAGAATTACAGTTTCCAGGGATCCCTTACAAATTGGCTTCCAAGTAAGTTTAGCCAATGAGAGCTCTAATGGGAGCTTAGAGGAAGGTAGGTAAGGAGGTGAAGGAAATCACTCCTTGCTCTTCCCTGCCCCCGCTCCCCGAGCTCTCAGTCTCAAACAGCATCTCTGACATGAGCTGCATCTCCTCTGTGGCTCCAACTTCTCTCTGATGGCCTCCACCTGTGCAGTCCCGCCTCTGGCAGCACAAACACTCCCCATAACTGGGACTACTGCCAGGTGGCCCTGATTGCTTGGCTCCTGGGTTTCACCACACTAGTTCATTCCGTTTTACCTCTAAGGGTAGAAAAAGTTGAATAGACTTTTCTTGCTGTTGCTAATTATCTTTCAGTTGGTTGACTCATCTCTGTGTAGCTTCTCACCTCTTTCCTCACTTGTGTAACTCAATTCCTGCCTTAAATTTCATATGTGTAAAATATCTAAAGCAACATACTAAGAAAAAGCAATTAGTGTCATATAGTCAGCAGGTGGAGAGAAGAGAAAATAAATATGGCAAGGCTACATGCTTTTTTAAAACATTTCTATTTATTCCATAAGCAAGAATTGGTTGTATAGTATAGTATGTCAAGAGTCTGGGAAATGTATTAGCTATGTGACCAGGAAGAATAAACAGGTTTGGAGAGTATCTGGTCAGTCTCTGCTAAGCATTTTTTTCTATTTATTTAAACAAGAATAAAAATATGTCTTACAGAGAAGGTGAAGTACTGAATTGCCTCAGCAGCTTTTCAATAAGGTACTCAGCTCCCTTAAGGGAATCTATATTTTGAAGTATTTTTGGTTTTAAATTGTACCTGAATAAGTTTAGCAGGCTAATAAAGATTCAGGAAAATGCTGAGTAGGAGAAGTGTTTTTGTTTCTAAGAACACCTACAAATACTACATATAACTTTTTCATAAAATTTTTGAAAGTGATTATAAAATAAGCATGCTTATATTTAGAGTTATGGCTAACAAAATAATGAAGGAAGTGCAATTGCTTAATGTTCTCTCCTATTGAACTTCTCTCTCTCCATACCTAGAGCTGGGGTGGTAGTTATTCCTATTTTGCTCCCTGAGCAATTCTGTGACCCACTTGTCCATCATCTTTAACTCTACCTCTTGCTAACAAGGAAGGGGAAAAACTGGTTAGATACTGAAGTACCTTCTAGCAACACAAACTCAGGCCTCTAACTCCACCAAAGAAGCCTTCTGAAATGCAATCAGGGTCAATTTTATTATATATTTAATTGTAATAACACTAGTATTTTGATTTCCAAAGCATGAGCGTGGAATAGAAACCAAAATAAAACAAGAAAACAAGCAAATAAATGAAAAAGCCCAGAGGCAAGCTGGAGGAAACATCCTAAGTTTTGAGGGCAAATCTGCAAATTAGTGGAGTAAAGCTGCAGCCTTTAAAAATATTTAGAAGTGATGAAGAGAGGATTTATACACTCTGGTTAAAAAGGCTTTGTACTTGGATTTTTAATTAAGCATGTTAAAGTCTAAAAGTTTTTGTAGGGTCACCAGGATCTGCTGAAAGGAACAGAAAATTTCCAGGGTGAGACAAAGGAGAGTGAATACTGTGCAACTGAAAGGAGAGAACCGCATTTGTACTTCTTTGAAGAGCCATGAGTTACTATGAAATATCTGTTGTTAATGTGGCCTCGTTGGGTTTCTGCACATCCTCCACTCTTTTTCTGATAGTCTGTGCAGTGAAGGCATGTCCAGCATCTACACTAAAATTAAAATACTTCTTTTCAGCCTGGAGAGCTTCTTTTAGCAATATTTGAAGAAAAGATAATATACTGGAGAAAAGCAAACTGCATGTTGGTCACAATGATGAGACAGACCAACCTGGAGAAGCAAAGTGAGTGCCACTACAGTGCTTGTTGTCAGACATGATCAGAAATCTTTGCTTTTGAAGTAGTTGAGAGCTGAAATGAACTATACCTAGTTGTATACAATGAATGTTGTAAAATGTTCCTGTGAGGTGTTTTAATGAGGTTTGTAGATTGTTGTCTAAAATTTTTTGTCTTTATTGGTTTTTATTCCTACAAATAGAATCTGTTTTAGGAGAAAACATAATGGCTAAAGTTTTGGAAGACCTCTTTTCTACGTGCAGGGGCTCTAGGTAAAGACTGGTATATTACAGAAAGCTTTAGCCGAGTCAGTGTTCATTACAAAATGATTTTGATTACATTAATCAAAATATAATCCCTTCTTAGCATCCTAAAGAAGGGAGCTCTGCATCTAGATTGCCAAATGGTATTCTTATCTGTCCAATTTATTTGGCCATACAAAGGGAACATTTTCTCAGAATCACACATTATTTATAACAATCTTTCTCCAACTGGTGTGCATGGGGTACCTCCCAGTTTTCCACAAAGAATGTTTAATGCTATACTTTCAATGAAAATTTCTATAAAACAGTAGTATGATGTATTTACTGGTAAGGATTTTGTTGCTGGGTAAAAATACCTGACACATACAACTTAAAGGAAGAGAAGTTTATTTTGGCTCATGGTTTGAGGTTTCAGTCCAGATTCAACTGGCTCCAAGGCAGAAACATCATGGCAGCCAGGAGGTGGAGTGAGAAGAAAAGAGCCAGAGAGAAGATACAACCTTCAAAGGAAGTCTGCAGTGACCTTTTTCCTCCAACAAGGACTCACTTCTAATAGCCCATTCAGCTATGAACTCAGCAATAAGTTAATTCATCCATAGGGTCAGTGCTTCATGATCCAATCACTTTTCCAAAAATCCCACTTGTGAATATTTAAGCCTTTTGAGGAAAATTTTAGATCAAATGATAAAACTGACTATCTAATAAGTGAGTATTACCTGGCTCTATCTCCAAAATCTTACCTAATTTAAAGTCACAAAATTTTTCTGCTGCTAATTTGTGCCTTCTTTCTTTTTTTCTGCGTAAGTTTGGATAGGGTTTTGTCAATTTTACAGGTCTTTTCAAAGATCTAGCTTTAGGTTTCATTGATATTATCTATTGTTTCTCATTTAATTCATTTCTACTCTAATCTTTATTATTTTCTTCCTTTGTGTTTAACTTTAGATGCTCTTCTTTTAGGGTGGAAGCTTTGCTGATTATTTGAGACTTTCCTTATATTCTCTTACAGGCATTTAGTGTTATGAATTCTCCACTAAATCGATGCTTTAGTAACATTTATAATAGTGTTTCTTATTTTCAAAAATGTAGTATTATTTAGGTTATAAGTATTGGGAATTTTTCCAATTTTTTTCTCTTATTGATTTCTAATTTGTAATTTATTTCCATTGTGGTCACAAAGCATATTTTGTATGATTTTAATCTTTCTAAAATTACCAAGACTTGTGTTTTATGGCCTAGAATATGGTCTATCTTGGTAATGTTTGGAAATATTCTGAGTGGCTTTAGAGGAATGCACATTCTACTGTCACTGAGTGAAGTGTTCGAAATATTAATTCAAATTGGTTATTAATGTTATTCTCTGGAATGTTATTCTATCAGCACTTTGGGAGAAAGTAAAGTATAAAGTAAGGCAAGATGCAAGGTAAATCTACATAAATAACTAATATTTCTGTGAAAAATGAAGAACTTAAAATTGATCAGATTTTTTCCAAGTAGTTATATCTTACATCATGTAATTTAAATATCCAGATCTATGACCAGTTTCTCCTATTTCATGCAGATGGTTGCCATTAGTAATCATGGTGATAATAAATACTAGGCACTGTGCTTCATAAATGTGTGTTGAATTAAAAATAACTTCTGTTTATGAATGAAGAGAAAATCTTGTTTTTTGTTAAAACAACAAAATTACTGCTGTTAACTTTTGAGAAAAAGTCATATTAAAAATAATTTCCATAAAGGTAATAATCATCTTACTATATCTATAAGTTCATTATGAAAGATCTAAAAATGTATTACCTTTGAAATGAGGGAAGGAGAGGCCTTGCCTTTTTCAAGGTGTTATTCTCCAAAGAGTGTGTGACTAACAGGGAAGGTATGTAACTCTTGGGGCATCCCTGTAGGTACAGTGAATGAGTAAATTCTTAGCAGCATTATGACATCACCAGGGAGCATGACTTGGGTCAAGAGCTTGGCAGGAGGCTATGGGAACAGTAGAATCAACAGTGATTAAGACTGGGAAGCCAACATACTGGCCACCATAAAACTGAAGAGAGAGCTTATTGTACCTCTTGCACAGGAGCAGGTTTAACAGAAAATTAGACATGTTTATAGTCCCAGATTTACAGCAAGCCTTATAAACACCTTATTACTTAGAATCCAGTCTGCTGTCCTAGAAACTAAGAATGTGACTTTGTTAAGCAGTAGGATTTGTTGACATAAATATCTTGACTGAGCTTGCCATTGCGGTTAACCAAAACGCATTTACTCCTGGGAAAGTAAACAGATGCAAACAAAATGCCTCTTATACTACAATACAGTAAGTTTCAAATTGACCAAACTTAATGCTATGACATAAATATACTTAATGTTTATGGAATTTTTAAGAAACTTTTGCCATTTTGGGCTTACCATACTGTATAAGTCTTACTGAATGGTAATGTGTTTTCAGAATTATCTGTGCTTAAAGACTTCATCAGAAATATTCAGAAAACCTGCCATGAATACCAGGGCTGACCATGCAGCAAGTAAAATGGGTCATGGTATCCTCAGACATAAATGTGGATAGATCAGTTATGCACCATGTAATAGCTACACACTGAATGGTTACCAACAATTAAAATTAGAGAACTAATGGAAAATAATGTTGAATAAATATTATAAAACCACATGAAAATATGTTCAAGGAAAGCAAAGTATCTGGCTGAAACCCACAAAGTTGAGAAAACTTCTAGGGGAGAATGAAAATTCAGACTAATCTCCCAAAGTTTAAAAATTCATTTGTTTAATAGAAAAAAAAAACTCCTCTGAAATTATAGACTCACAGAACTACTCGAGTAAAACCAGAGCAATTCAGAATCTTTCCTATCCTTTTAGGCTTCTAAAGAACCCTCTAAGAACCTCAAAATTTCTGTAGTGAGAAAGTTCTTTATGTCAGATATAAATGCGTAGTCATCATTGCATCATTTTGATCTAAAGTAGTCACCAGTTTTTTTCTAATAAAATTTATATCAATATGATCTACAGGAAATTATTAAGCAGAAGGTGTCTGTGTGATAGAATAAAGAGTGAACAAATAGACATTAATTTACAAAGTCCTACAACCAAGTCTTATAAACGACAAGAACCTGGAAATCTTTCTAACAGAAACATGTGGCTGACTTCCTGAATCACAGTGAAGGAAAATGACCACAGGAAACCATAAAAACACTTTTATGTAGTAGCATATTCAAGAATGATACTGGAGATTTAGTTGACTAAGATCCACGAGTCTCCTCAAAATCAATTGCAACTGTAGGTCAATTTAACAAAGGTACAATTTCAACATGAGAGATTTGATTGTTGCAGTCAGTATAGGATTTACTGTTTATGGTTCTGGGCATACTAATGAAATCTGATTCCAGCAAACTGAAACAAACCCAAATGAAAAAACTAGGCCCAAACATTCTTACCTTCTGAGAAAGTTGAAAAAAATCAAGGAAGTTCAGTTTATTAAAAATAAACATTTTCTGAGGAATACAATGATTGACTCACAGGTAATAGAGTGCAGTCTATTTCTTTTCCAGTAACAACAAATAGAATAAGCAAAGAAACCACCAAAATATAAGAATGAACTTTTTTTCTTTCCTTTTTTTTCTTTTGGTACTGAGGATAGAACCCAGGGCTTCTACTACTCTACCAAGCACTCTACCACTGAGCTACATCCCCCCCAGACTTTATTTTAAAATTTTGAGACAGAGACTTGCTAAAGTTGTACATGCAGGCCTCAAATTTACAATCCTCCTGACTTAACCCCCCGCGTACCTAGGATTACAGGTGTGTGTCACTAGGTCCAATAAGAATGAACTTTCTAAATAAACACTTAGAGCTGTCAAAAAATACTATGGCCTTCCTTGGGAGGATGGGTATCCCTGTAAGTGTTAAAAGGCTGAATGACTGATTGGTGGTAATTATAGAAGAGGTGAAACATCACAGACGGAGTATTTGGACTACATAGAGTAGTTTTCATGTGGTTCTTAGTATCCGTAAAGGAACAAGAAGGCTGAGATTATAGCTAATCCCCTTCCCTCAACCATTGCATTTCTGATTAAATCTATTTTATATATGGTCCTCTACCAAGTATTTCATTTTACAAAAAGCACATGGTATTAAAATCTTATAAAGCATTAGAGAATATGATTTCTGATGTCAGTTTTGATGTCATTTTATAATTCAGAATTTTGATGGAATTTGATCTTTCAGGCATCACCCATTGTCATGTTATTAGACTACCATGGTTCTGTTTAATGAAATGCTTGTATTCAGAAGGCTCAGAATATCACCTGTGAGAGAATAGCAAAAAATACAATAGTTACTACCAAGCCTGTGACTTGGGTAGGAGAAAAGAATTCATTGGCAGGGAGTTGGAGACAGCAAAATCTAAATCAAAAGAAAAAGAAAGTTGCAGACTTGAGATTGAGACATTTGAAGTGATTTCCAGGAGTGAATTTTGTTCATGGTGTTATGAAAGAGGATACACCTGTAGCCTCCAAGGGGCTTCTAAATGCTGATAGTCCTTAAATCAGATTTCATTTTCAACATAGTGCTAATTTTATGAGTTACTTGCAGAAAATCTGAGTCTCCAAGGACAAGGAAGTGGACCGATTTCACTTTTTAGGTATCTTAGAGTTTTAAGACCTCTGGCATAATTCCAGAGAAAGACTGAATTCTTTTTAGTCAGAAAAGCAGTTGATAATTTAGAAACACTTTTCCAGACATGATCTCATTTTGTCTTTCATCAATGACTAACAATGATACAAGGACATGCATTTTCATCCTCATTTCCCACATGAGGGAATTGGAGATCAGAAATATTAAGTCACCAACCCAAATCACACAGCTACTAAGGGAAGTGGGGTGATGAAATCTGTGTCATGCTCCCAGGTTTAAAACTCCTTTGCAGTATCCTCAGCACATGATTTCTTCAATTGAGGAGCTCTGATAAAGTTCAGAGTTTCCTTACATTTTGTGCTTCTTACAATTTCTTTGTGACTGACATAAAACTAACTGCATTTTGTTTGACACAGCCTTAGCTTTGGATATGTAAGTGGACAACAACAACAACAAAAAATCCCTGCTTGGATTCAAATAGTAACATCTCTATTAAAAATCAACAGTCCCCTAGAAATAAACAGGTCTATTAAAAAGAAAAAAGTAATTCAGTGACTCAGCATATCGTGCTTTGATAGCTTTTAGTAATTACTTCTTATTTTGTTTTTGTTTTTTTAAGTGTCTATGGTAAGAGAAGCATGCAGAAAAACACGAGGCTTTGCATGCTCCTTTATTTTCATTACCTCTTCCACCTCTTGAGAATGTCTGGCTTTCTCCAGCATGCCGAATGTCTGGCAGGCGAACTAGTCTTGCCAAAAAACCATGGATTATATTGCTTAAAAACAAATGTAAAGGACACAATAAGGAACTACATTTCTCTCAAATGGTGTCATTTTTCTTGGCTTTTTAATCATGAGTTTGAGCCTTCAAAAACCAGAATGCCAGGGTTCTTTGTGCAAAGAATTCTTAATAAATAGCAAATCCCAGAATATCTCTACAAATTGAGTTCCCTAAATCAGAGATACTTGAACCAGAAGTGTTTCAGATTTTGGAGGTTTTCTTTTTTCTTTTTTTTTTTTTTACAGGGTGGACTTTGGAATATCTGTATGAACTTTACCATCTGGATGCTAAAATGCTAATAATTTTGGATTTAGGATTTTCTGATTAGGGATATACAAACTGTATGTGGGAGAATTTAACCCATTTACATTCAAGGTTATTATTGATGGGTAAGGGCTTAGTACTGCCTTTTTAAAAAATTAATTTTATTGGTACATTTTAGGTATATAATATAATGAAATTCATCATTGGAAATTTGCACATTTACAGAATCTCTCTCAGTTCTTTCCCCCCCCATTCTCCTGCCCTCCCTTCAACTTCTCCATCTCTCCCTATCTACAAAGATTTTGTTTCCATTTTTTCACTTTCTCATATTAATTCCATTCCCTTCTTTCCTTTCCCCTACCCCTCCCATTGCCCTTACCCCTTTGCCCCTTTTCTTCCTATTTCAGATTATCTATTATACCTTTTAGTCTTTATTTACACTTTCAGTTTCTTACACTAGAGAAACTATTTGGTATTTACACATGTGCATCCTATTTATTTCACTTAAGAGTATTGCCTCTATATGCATTCATTTAGATATAAATGTCTTTAGTATCTCATGTTTTATGGCTGAGTAGTACTCTGTTTTATAAAAACAGCACATTTTCTTGATCCAGTCTCCAGTTGATGGGCAATTGGGCTGCTTCCAAGTTTTGGTTATTACAAACTGTGCTGCTTTGAACATGGGTGCACATATATCACTGTGGTATGATTCTTTTAATTCTTTGGGGAAGATACACACCAGGGGAATAGCAGGGTCAAATGGGACTTCCAGTCCTAGTTCTTTGAGGTATCTCCATACTGATTTCCACAGTGGCTGCACCA